GAGGGGGAGTACTTTCTAAACTAATGCACTGAACAGATGCCATTTGTAGTTGTTAAATGTCTCAAATAATTGAGGTATTTGGACAGAGATGACCCGCCCCCGCCTTTTTATAAAGTCAGAAGTCAAGTAAATGTTGAGTGGTGGGAGGGTTTTTTCCCCAGCTGGCCAGGGGATTCAAGCTATCAAACTTCCCCTGAAGTCTTACACCTTTTTAGTTTTCAGCATGGTGTTGCTGACGTAGTAAATCGGGGACTACCTCGCCAGCTGCAGGTACTTTACCCTGCTCTCTGTTTCAGTGGGTAACACAAGTTCCTGATAAACCACGCTGATATTTTAATATTGGTTAGGAAGAAGGTTGTTAATAACAAAAGGCCACATGTATGATTTATACAACAAGCCACCATTGAGTCATCAACAGATGTTAAAATTGTGCAAATAATAGAATAGTTCCCCCAGAGGAAACACAATGCTGTACTCTGTAAGCAGCTAGTGAAATACATAGACAAATCCCAAGTGTACTGAAGGACATTGATCCAGTCAATTTCAAAATATTAGAGATGGATTGGTCAGGATTCTTAAGAAGGGAAGCAGAGATCATAAATATTAGAAAGAGGAAGAGGCATGAGTCAAACTCTTGAGAAGGAAGAGAAGTTCATTGGGATCGGTGCGTCACTGTGCTGCTACCAGTTTGCATTTAGAGCCAGAGACAACAGGGGGCGAAATTAAGACCAAAACCAGGTCTCAGATCAGATCATCAGTTCCACATTTCATGTTTGACTCAGTGTGTGTGTGTGTGTGTGTGTGGTCAAACAAGGCTGACAAGTAAAACATACAAATAGTCTTTAAAACGATTTATTGTTACGATGTTAAGTTTGGAAGACTCAACACGATAATCATTGTTTTAGGATTAGTAGGCAGCGTCAATCCCATTCTCGCGAACACGACACGCCTTGTGGGGTTTTATTCAATATTATACACTTGGACTGAAGGATTAACTCAGTAACTCAAATGTCACTGACTTCCCAATAATCAACATGCCAATTATGACATTCAAAACCTCTCTAATAGGATTATGACAAAGTGAGGACATGTTGGACGGACATGTCCAAATATGTCAACTTGACTACAGGGCTTTAGTTCTAGTTTCCAACGTGGACATGTATTTTGTTTTTCAACAAGGTCTTTCCAAAGAACCTTAATCATTGTTTTGTCTGAATGTTGTGTATAACATTGAAACAAAGTGAGCTGTTTAAAATAGAGTTTCCTCATTCTATGTGAGCTGTGGTTTTGGGCAGCGTCTTCCAGGGAAATCACCATATGATTAATTGTGCTCGTGGTGGAAGTTTATTGTTTAAATCAACAAGTTCTTGCAGACAAACTCTTTCAATGCAGATTTACAATGAGCAAGTGAAAGTCTCTCCATGTCTACATTTCAATCTACTCTTTGACCTTTCTTATTATATTTTACAGCAAACACAGTCTATCATAGATCTAATCAAAGTGTGTGTGTGTGTGTGTGTGTGTGTGTGTGTGTGTGTGTGTGTGTGTGTGTGT